TGTTGGAACAAAATGTACAATTTTGTAGTGCATACTTGTATGTTCAAATATAACTGTGTGTATATATATATATATATATATATATATATATATATATATATATATATATATATATATATATATATATATAAAGGGTGTTCCAATAACTTGGACAGGGTTTTAAATGTGAATTAAGTGTCTAATGATTTTTTTTTTTCCTTTTTCTTTCAGATTTAACAACTTAAGTCTTTGGCAATTTCAGCTATGGTAAGATTAACAATCAAACAACGTGTTAAAGTTATTGAAGCCTATTACAAAAACGGGCGTTCAAACAGAAATGCATTTCATGCACTTCACGATTATTTTGGTTCACATAATCGACCAACTGAGAGTGCAATTGGAAAAATTGTTCGTAAATTCAAACAAACTGGGTCGGTGGCAGATGAAAAACACCACCATTGCGGCTCGTACGCCTGCTCAGCTGAAAACATTGCTGCAGTGCATGAAAATGTGGCTGAAAATCCAGACACCTCTATTCGTCATCGTGCGCAGGAATTGAACATCTCCACAACAACATTACATCGAATTTTGACAAAAGATTTGTTACATCAAATTTTGACCAAAGATTTCTCTCTTCACTCTTACAAAATTCAATTGACACAAGTGCTGAAACCTACTGACCATTTGGAGCGCCGTACATTTGTCAATTGGGTGCATGAGCAAAGACAAGCCAGTGAAGATTTTTCTCAGAAAATCCTCTTTAGTGATGAAGCCCATTTTCATCTTGGTGGATTCGTTAATAAGCAAAATTGTTGCATTTGGGCTGATGAAAATCCAAGGAAGATTGTTGAAAAGCCACTGCATCCACAAAAGGTCACTGTTTGGTGTGCATTTTTTGCTGGTGGAATTATTGGGCCATATTTCTTTGAAAATGATGCTGGGAATTCTGTTACGGTGACAGGCGAGCGATACCGTGCCATGATAACCAACTTTTTATGGCCTGAATTGAATGCTATGGATGTCAAAGATTTGTGGTTCCAACAGGACGGTGCCACATGCCACACAGCCATTGCAACAATGGCTTTATTGAATGAGAAGTTCCTAGGTCGCGTCATCTCTCAAAACAGCGAAATCAATTGGCCACCACGATCATGTGACTTGACACCTTTAGATTTCTTCCTTTGGGGTCATCTCAAAAGTAAGGTCTATGCCAAAAAGCCAACAACAATTCAACAGCTGAAGGATGAGATAATAAGACATATTGGTGAGATCAAGGAGCAACTATGCAGAGATGTCATCAAAAGTTTTGACCATCGAGTGGAGGTTTGCCGCCGAAGCCTTGGGGGACATTTGAGTGATATTATTCTTCACACATGATTGCCATGACTTAAATAATATGATCAATAGAAAAATAAATTTTCAGCAATAACACTGATTTATTTACTGCTGACTTTGATCCATCTTAATGAAAGCTCCCCAGTAGAGAGCAAATGCAGATGTACTAAGGTAGTATACCAGGCAACCATTACCTCTAAAGAAAATATGACAATCAATAATATTTACACCAGCATATATGTACATGTAAATGTACATTTATGTATGTATGAAGATATTTACGTATATAAGTGTGTTGGACTGCATGATTTATTCTGTTGGCTGCTCTGGGATTACCTACAAGCTATCATTCTAAAACTAATTTACCTTAATCTTGTTTTAAGTTTAAATTTCCCATCACTTAATAATATTGGGCCCTTGTAGTATAAAAACTATTTACAGTGAATTCCAGGTAAACAGGCTTGGTGTTTGTATAGGAAACGCCACATGGTATGAACTGAAACTTATCAACAATGAAAAGCTCTAGCCTTGAATAAGCTCCACCCCAAGACTCCTTCTCCAGGATGAGATACCTTATGCGCTCCATCAGTTGCTAACAGAAGTTTTTTTTTAACAAGATGTCTACAAGAGTAGGACTGACATTGAAAACAATGCTTCAAGAAACACTTAAAGGCTAATGATAGCTGCTGCATACAGACCAGTTTGAAATGGACTATTCACATGTTGAGGTAATTTTTGTTTCTTTGCTGTAAAAAAAAAATACATAAGCTCTGTTATAATAAATAAATTGAGCTCTCTGTGGATCATTTTTAATAATATTACTAGGATCCACCCTGCTTAGATACCAATTGATCTATTACTTATATATATATATATATATATATATATATATATGTGTGTGTGTATATCTCTCTCTTTATATATATATATATATATATATATATATATATATATACACACAAAAATAATTTTCTATTTACAACATTCTAAAAACTAATAAATATGACGACAATTTTTTTAAATTCATAGGCACAAAAACTTTTTTGAATATGAGTCTGCTATAAGTAAATCCTTATTTACCATTTCATAAAGTTTGAATCATTTGGCAATTAGCTGTTATTTTGCTAACCATTCCAATAAATTATCTAATAAATGATGTAAAGAAGCAATCTAATGAATAGATAGTATTTAATATTTTTCTCAATTCTCTAGAACAAAGAAAATGTATAAATACACTCTCATGAAGCTTTTATTCCAATTTTAATCATCACTTTTCAAAACAAACATTGCTGAATAGTGGAAGTAGTTAAAAAAGGCAGTTTTGTGTGAAAAATAGCCCTTTTGATGCTACATTTTATGAGTATCTAAGTAAATGTTTACTGATAATAGACATTAAGTTTCTGTATTTTTATTTTTTAGGATGTCAGTGATGGCTTCTTGACTAGGTTGATGTTCACCCACTTTTCATCTTTAGTTTAAACTGGGATCAAGGATGCAATTCCAGTCACCTGTTAGGACTACCTGCTGAACTGATGACACAAACTAATTTTTTCAGTCTCTGAAACCTGTTCTGCTCCCTGCCACATGGAGCGGGCAAAATGTATCCTTTATGACTAACCTTGGGAATAGAGGGTTTGCCAACCAGATCTGCAAAGAGAGGTGAATATGTCGCCCTCAAAAACCAGCATTACCAGTCAACAAACACTGCTTGCCAATACACAGAGGAGGAAAATGTAATAAGGTCTGTAAATATCTACTCTGGGAAGCTGAAAAGACTAGCAAATTGACCTCTGATCTAGGGCATTCAAATTCATTAACTTTTTTTTTTTTTTTTTTTTTTTTTTAGCCATTTTGACCTACTTGAGGAAAAATTAAATAATACACCAAACTTCACCTGTAGAAGAAATATACAACCAGTTTTCAGCTATACATCACAAATTATAAAACTTCCTAAAATATTATCAAATACAAATCTGAATTAAATGAGGATGATAGGCTAGTAAAACTTTGAACAGAAAAAAATGAATGTCTTTAAAAAGGTTGACTTAAATTTCTCTCTCTTTCCCTGATTTCCAGTAAAATTGCCAGTGCTTGGATATGTACCAAAAGACATTACTGGCCTTCTCACTTATACCCCATATCTCTGTCCTGAAGCTGTCCTTACCATTGTCAGGGCTGTAAGCACATCCTTAGAAAGTCTCCCTCACTGCTCTTTTTTTTTCTTCCCCTCATCCAAGTAGTTGTCTTCATCGGAATCCAGTTTCAATACTTTTATCAGATTCTCTAACTTTTGGCCTGTTGTCGCAATATTACCTGCGGAATTTGTTTGTCTTTTGTTAAGTAACCACAGCCCCTATGGATTATTTTGTTGGGGATGTGCAGAGTTTACTAATTATGTTAGAAAGAATCAGAAGGAATTTGAGTAGGTTGCGTGTCTTTCTGCATCCCAAACAAATAAACGAAATTTAAAATGCAATTGAAATACGAGACATATTCAATTAGAAATCAATACAACATTTATATACAATTCAAATAATATACAGACAGGATAATTGATGTATGTTATGTAGGCGAAATGTGTATGAGGTTTTTTTTTAGATTTCAGAATGTCTCTCTTGGCAATTGTTCGTTCATTTGCAGTCCTTTTTGTTTGTGTCGATATTTGCAATTGTTGATATTGTCTTTTAGAAAGTTTTTTTTTTTTTTTTTTTTTTTTTTTAAGAGTGATCTACCTTTAACTGTAATGTGGTGTTTTTCTAAGGTCATTCGTTCATTAGTGTTTACTTAATAAGTAGCGAATTTGATTCACTTTAGATAAGCAATGTTGAGAACTGATGTACACAGAGTTGGCGTGTCGAGACAAAGTTTTACGAGTACAACCAATGATGTACAATCAGAGGGGGATGGCAACCCCACAAAGATCGGCGCATTTTGGAAGCGCGGCCACCCCACATTTAATGTCTGCTGACGATGTCTGGACTTTTAGCCAGCCCGAGGGCTGTTACCAGCGGGACCCTATAGGAGGAGGCCCAGCACCATTCCCCCCTCAAGGACCAGCAACCCCGCCATTAGATGATGAGGCATTTGGCTAACTCACGACGCCTCACCTGCAGCGCCCGTTTGGCCGCCAGAAGACGTTGCCCAAATGTCACCGAGAGGAGGTAGGGCGCGTTTTAATCGTCATCATGCAGGTGAGGGCTGGAAATTCCCTTTGACCTAGATAAGGTTAGGTGAGTCAGCACCCAGTAGATCGGAAATCCTGCCGTACGCCGCAAAGTAGAAAAGGGAGAAGTATGTGTGAGATATATATATATATATATATATATATATATATATATATATATATATATATATATATATATATATATATATTTTTTTTTTTTTTTTTTTTAAGGAAGTTAGGCTTACTAGACTACTCGGGGCATTCACGAAGCAACGCCGGAGCGCGCCAGTACACCCGCAACATGCGAGCAGTATCGCAGAGAACAAGTCTGGATATCATTCCAAAATGCTTCCACCGTAATAAGCCCAAAGTGTGGCAATCCTGGTAACTCTTTTGAGCAACAGCACCGCGCCAGTTATACGTCAGGGCAACGATTTTGATGGCAATGTCGCTACCAAAACGCTCATCAAGGAAGTAACGTTGATTATACTTCCGGATCTTCTCGGTGTTGCATGAGTCCAGACTACATATGACAGTCAGGACGGACCTGCACGTCCAGGAATATTAGGCCCCTATCCGTGCGGACCATGAGGTCAGGCTTACACAGGCCTCTTTCGGTATTAAAACGAGGCTCCATAATGACATCCAAATTACGCTTTTTCATCGATTGTGCCACGAAGAGCACTATGTTATCGTGTCTTTTCTGCCGGAGACCACAGGCTTGGGCTACGTGGGGCAGGCTCATTGGAGCATTGCGCCCACATTTGCATAAGGGATCGACAATTCTGCCACCCCGGGAAAACCGGGCTGGAGTGCCCATACAGCCTAGACAGACTCTGATGGCATCCTGGAACTCAAAGCCGGCAAGGGTGGTGGGGGCATGGTCCAGCCAGCTGTTAACGGCCGGAACATGATCATACCCTTTTAAGCTCCTGGTGTCCAATCTATTAAGCAGGTCTTCGACCAGACCCTCTCAGGTGCAGTTAGGATATTCGCTAAATTTGTAATTCATCATGGAACGGACTGATGGAATAGATGCAAGGGGAGCATCTTCTGTGTGCCCTTCGGTAAAAAGACGAGGGCGTTTGGCTTTAAGCGCAAAAACAAGTTGTTCAAGGGAGGCTACCCCCAAACCACCGTATTTTGCTGGTGCATGGATGGCGGAGTTGGGACAGTCGGCAGGCAGCCGAAGCCACCTACGAACCGCCCTTCGAATCGTCTTGTCCCCTTTGACTAGTTCAGCCCTATGATGGTGATCGAAAACGAGACGATGGTGCAAACGCAGAAGCAGGAATTTCTTGAGGAAGTTCAACTTCTGCTGTGGTTTCAAAGCAGCACGATCCAGCCTGGTCAGAAGATGGTTGAGACCAAGCAGTGTCCGAGCAATGCCCCTCCAGTTAAACCGCACCCCGAGATATTGGAATTCTGAGTTTGCGGTAACAACCGGGAGGGCAGTGGTGTCCACATAACAGAACTTCCTTTTCTTGTTCCCACGAATGCATAATACAAGGCATTTCAGGGCATTGAGTTGAGTCCAAGGCCGACAAGAAGTCGGTCAATACACTTTTGCAATTTGTCAGGGGAGCTGGCAAATAGTATAAGGTCGTCGGCGTGTGCCATTTGATTTAATACAAGCGCGCTGATGGAAAATGCATACTCCTCCTGTCCTTCAAGGATCCGATCCATCGCGATATTGAAAAGCCAAGGGGATAGGGGGTCCCCCTGCTTAACCCCACGATGTGCGGGGTGGATCAGATCCCTCCCAATTAGCAACCTACTGGAGCTAAAATAGGATTGAAAATATTTGAGAAGAGGGTCGGGAACCCCCTTTCTGTCGCAATATGCCCAAGAGAGCTTCGTGAGAGAGTGAGTCAAAGGCCTTACGAATGTCAACAGCAGCCATTGTAAAATTCTCATTCTTATTGCGGGCTTCAGCTATGGCCGCATGCAATTTCAAGACATTATGAGCGATCCCATCGTGCCTCTGAAACCCAACCTGGTCACGATGATTTGGGAGGAACACTTCGAATCGATAGGCAAGGACTCGATGGAACACTCTCACAAAGTAATTCCCTATTGTGATTGGCCAAAAATCCAGGGGGTCACCCGGGAAGTGAAGATATTACCAGATTTACCCCTGGAAGGAGGCGGGCCTTTAAGCAACAGCAGATTGCATAGTAGAGTAATATCTCGACTGGAATATCCCACAAGGTGTTAAGGTGGAGACCATCCGGTCCAGGGAAAGATTCCTTCATGGAAGCAAGCGCAGAGACAACATCGGAAACGAGAATGGGGGACATAAGTTCATTCATCAGTGGGCCGGGATGTTCATCGGCCAAGTCAGCAAAGCAGTCGCGTTCGAAAACGGGCTTCCATTTTCACAAAAAATCCTCGTCAGAGAAGGAACACTCAGCAACGAGTCCCTCGTAAGAGAGATCGCTGTCAAGGACCCTCTCGGCCACCAACTTCAGGCTTCTGGAATGGAGCTTCTGCAAAAATTGGTATATGGCAGAACGTTGGTGGCGATGCCGCCGAATTCCAGCCTTAATAGGTGGTTTGGTACGTTTATTAGTAGTCCTGTTCTTAGGGAAAACTTCAAAGTATATTGTAGAGAACCCATCGGGCTCGTGGAGGAGCCAATTCGGCCTTATTTCGAAGTAAGTGGTCGGAAATCTTAGGCAGAAGGCCAATAACATACTCGGTGATGGTATTGGAGTGTTCCCGCTGGACGTCATCAGGGGGTTGTGTCTCCGTCAGGTCAGTCACCTCATCCTGGGGTTCCAGGTTCCAGGGGCACAGACTCAGAAACATCAATGAAAGCAGCCACCTTTGGAAGGCGCTTCCTCTTGGAACGTATTGCAATGAGGGTGCGGCCGGGAAGGAGAGGGACAAGGTCAGCGTCAGTTGTTCCAGGTGGCGCAGATGTAAGTATTTTAATCTCGGGACCAGACCATATACAGCTTGTCCTTACTACGGGGGCTAATGGAGCAGCCGGTGGGGTCCTTGCTGGGGAATGGTCACGGGTATGGGTATCAGAAGTCGCTAAAGGCTGAACGCCATCAGAGCCAGGGCAGGGAGCGGAGCTCTCCAGCGATTTCAGAAGGTCTTTATAGTCCTTCCTACGTCGCCTACAGCTTACCTGGTCGCTGGTACATGCCATGCAGGAAGCAATGTATGGGTTGGTATTATGTATATTTAGGGATGACGCCTCACGTTTTAACGCAGCCATACGCTTGAGATCATCAAGTGTCCATTGAACGTAGGTGCGAGCTAGCAAACGGTATGAGGCATCACGCTGTCTTTTTATTTCGTTCCATTGATTAGGATGTACTTTGTACATATGGGCAGAAAGTCTGGCTGATTGCTCAAAAGTACGAGGGCACATGGCGCAACTCCAACGGGGAGGGTCATCATTCCAATCTACAGGGACAAAGTTTTGGTTACCGCCTGCCGAGGCGGGGGAGTGTCGAGACATTATAACTTGAACAACCAATGATGTACAATCAGGGGGGGATGGCAACCCCACCGTGATCGGCGCAGGCACCCCGCGGTTAAAGTCGGCGGAGGACATCTGGGCTCTTGGCCAGCCTGTGGGCTGTTACCGGCGGGGCCCTATGGGAGGGGGCCTAGCACCATTCCCCCCTCAAGGACCATCAACCCCGCCATCGGATGGCGAGGCATTTGGCTAACTCACAACCACCCGCGCCCACCGGCCTAGGAAGTGTTAGGTCGGTACACCCTCTCTGCCTACCAATGGGGTGTCGTTAATCCCCAAAGGTGTTTCCCAAATGCCACCTCGTGGAGGTTGGGTGCTTTCTCAGCGTCATCTCGGGTGGGGGGTAGGAAATTTCCCTTTAACCTAAGGTTAGGTGAGTTAGTCCCTTGCCGATCAGGAAGTTCCTTCGGGCGCCGGCGCAGAGTATGCTACACGCCTTTTTTCTTTCTTGTCTCCGCTTTGTCAGGCAGTTCATAGGGCTACTCAGCGCAGTCCATGAGTACCTCAGCCGACGCCGTCGGGCATATCGCCGCAGGCGCGTGCCAATATGCCCATAGCATGCGCGCAGTATCACATAGTATCATCCAAGAGATAGGGCCAAAGTGCCGCCACCTTAGTAGTCTATTCGTGGTGCAATTCTGGTAGGATTGCTGTGCAGCAGCCCCGCGCCAGTTGAAGGTGAGAGCAATGACCTTGATGGGCAGGCCTTGCCCGAAACGGTCCCGGATCGCGTCAAGAACGTACGGCTGATTGTACTTCGCGATCTTTTCCCTGTTGCATGCATCCAGAGTGCATACGACAGTCAGGTTGTATCTGTACATCCAGGACAATTATCTCCTCCTTGGCCAGGATCACAAGGTCGGGCTTACGGAGGCCGCGCTTGGTCTGAAGCCTGGGTTCCATGATCACGTCGAATTTTCTCTCTTTTAGGATCTGTGCCACGTATAGTACGACGTTATTGTGGCGTTTTATCCGGAGGCCGCTAACGATGCTGCAGGCTTGGGCGATGCGGGGCAGGCTCATACGAGCATTGCTACCACATTTGCAGATGGAGTCGACATTATGACCACCCCGGCTGAGCCGGGATGGCATGCCCATACAGCCTGGGTGAACTCTAACAGCCTCCTGGAAATCGTGTCCGGCCAAGTTGGTGGGGGCATGGTCCAGCCAGCTGTTGACAGCTGGTACCTTCTCATACCCCTGTAGGCCCCTGGTGTCCAATCTCCTGTGGAAATCTTCAACCAGACCCTCTCGGGATGACATTACAGATCCTTTAAATTTGTAGGACATCAGACCTCGCACAGCAGGATTAGACGCTATTGCAGCATCTTCTTCATACGACAACTGGGATAGGCGGCTTTCTTTCAGTGTGGAATATAATGTTTCTAAAGAGTTCACCCCCAAACCGCCGAATCTCGCGGGAGTGTGTATCGTGGAATTGAGACAATCCGCCGGCAGCCGAAGCCACTTGCGGACGGCCCGACGAACTGCTTTGTCTCCTTTGACGAGCTCGCCCTTATGCAGTCGGCTGAATGTTAGCTGGTGTTGCAGACGCTGGAGCAAGTTAAGAGAATCATAGTTACTCCTGCCAAATTCAACCAATGAGATTGGTCGTTACAAAATACTGTGTGGCGTAAATTAGCCAATAGGAGCTTAAATTTCAGAATTTCTCACAAGTTTTATAAGATTTCTGTAACCAATGTAAGCTCCTCTATTTGGATTCAGTATGAATACTTCCTTATTCTTTGTAGACGATTTCCCACATATGTCAATTGTGATTCTTATACTTTTAGCATGCTGTACTGATACCTCCCATTAAACTGTTGAACCCATGTGCTTTAGTAAGGCACTAGGTAATCACCAGATTGTACATGTCTCCATGCGAAATTTTGTTCAAATTTCTTAAATTTACCTTTGACATTGTTCATATCTGTTGTCTTAACTAAGTTTTTGAATCTTGAATAAGAATTTAGTGATTGTATTTCTGAATTCTGCAGGCAGTACTGTTCCAATTTGTTCTGCTGGCCATCTGTTTGATCCTGATTCACACTGATTTTCGCTCAGCATTCATGGTCGACGTAGCATGGCTCAACCAGTATAAACACTAAGTTGATGTTGATCTCTTCTAATGTACTCGCCCAGTCCAAGTGAGTATTTAAGTGATGAGAGTTCTTGCTGCTGCTCCAATGATTCCTATATCCAGCATTTCTGAGAAATTTAGCATTGGCAATTACTGTTTTTATTCTTAGTTTCCCATATTCTAGATCATGTATTTTTGCAGCTTGATCTAGCTTATTTACCACTGGCACATTTCTTATTCTAGCCAAATCAATGCCAGGACCTAGAAAATGGTAACCCAGGACTCTTAAGTCTAACAGCTTTTTACTGCCTTTAACCGGTGGCATTCTCCTTTTGGTCAAGAATAATTCTCTGTGCTTCACAGCTGCATGTTCTCTCAGCATTGTCATGGGAACATTGGTGCAATGTCATCCATTTGGTTTTGGTTATTTCCTTTCTTATTTTTCTTTTATTTTTCAGATCTTCAGGGTTGATTATGGCAGACCCATTAATCAAAAACTGTTAAATAATTAACTGTTTTAAAACAAGTCAGATAAGTTATTGTAATGGTACTTTGTAGACAGAAACTGTTAAAATGCCTTGTTGACCTGGAGTTTTTACCAATTTCACATTCCGATCTTGTTCTGGTGTGTTTGTTTTTTTGTTTGTTTTTTTTTTTATCTGATCCATTGCCGTATTAAACAGCTCTGCTTAACCCCTTAGCAGGTGGGGTGGATCAGATACCCCTAATCTGCTAAAGCTGAAGTACAAGTGAAAGTACTCCATAAGGACCACACAGTTTTCAAACTTGGAGTGGACTTCTGATAGGGCTAACATTCAACTTAAGGACATTGTGAGCAATCCCATCAAGACGTTGAAATCTGGCTTGGGACCCTATGGCCCAGCACCATTCCCCCCTCAAGGACCATCAACCCCGCCATTGGATGGCGAGGCATTTGGCTAACTCACAACCACCCGCGCCCACCGGCCTAGGAAGTGTTAGGTCGGTACACCAACTCTGCCTACCAATGGGGTGTCGTTAATCCCCAAAGGCGTTTCCCAAATGCCACCTCGTGGAGGTGGGGTGCTTTCTTGGCGTCATCTTGGGTGGGGGGTAGGAAATTTCCCTTTAACCTAAGAAGGTTAGGTGAGTTAGTCCCTTGCCGATCAGGAAGTTCCTTCGGGCGCCGGTGCAGAGTATGCTACACACCTTTTTTCTTTCTTGTCTTTGCTTTGTCAGGCAGTTCATAGGGCTACTCAGCGCAGTCCATGAGTACCTCGGCCGACGCCGTCGGGCGTATCGCCCTGTCCGCAGGCGCGTGTCAATATGCCCATAGCATGCGCGCGGTATCGCGTAGTATCATCAGAGAGATAGGGCCAAAGTGCCATCACCTTAGTAGTCTATTCGTGGTGCAATCGTGGTAGGATTGCTGTGCAGCCGCCCTGCGCCAGTTGAAGGTGAGTGCAATGACCTTGATGGGCAGGCCTAGCCCGAAACTGTCTCGGATCGCGTCAAGAACGTACGGCTGATTGTACTTCGCGATCTTTTCCCTGTTGCATGCATCCAGAGTGCATACGACAGTCAGGTCGTATCTGTATATCCAGGACAATTATCTCCTTCTTGGCCAGGATCACAAGGTTGGGCTTACGGAGGCCGCGCTTGGTCTGAAGCCTGGGTTCCATGATCACGTCGTATTTTCTCTCTTTTAGGATCTGTGCCATGTATAGTACGACGTTATTGTGGCGTTTTATCCGGAGGCCGCTAACGATGCTGCAGGCTTGGGCGATGTGGGGCAGGCTCATACGAGGGCATGGGTCCTTTTAGGATGGCATATGTCTTAACGTGTGCTATGTGCATAGCGCTGATGTCTCTAGGTGCCTCCCCTAACATATACCATACCTTTGATGAGTTATATTTTTTCTATGTTGCACACACGCAATTACCCGCATCTACGCTGAAAAACTTTTTCATGCACTGTCAATGATTCAATGCAACTTAAAAAGAAAAACATGCACATGCGTATAGAAGACAAACACAATATATACAGTTTATATATATATATATATATATATATATATATATATATATATATATAATATATATATATTTATTTATTTTCAATTATACATATACATGTAATATAATAGTAATAAAATGAAAAAAATAAGATACCATTGAAACATCGGCATTGGCGTTAAAACTTTTTCTGCGCGGACGCGCGTTTTACATGTCACATATTAAAATTTCTATTTCTTCACTACAGTACAGTAATTTCTCTTTTATGTTATGTCCTTGTATTTCTCTATTTTTTAAATGAATATATTCGTTTAAAGTCTCTAATTTTCTTTTTTTTCCGTCTTTTTTTTTTTTTTTTTTTTTTTTTTTCTTCATAGTTATCAATGTCTATAAGTAATTTGTCTGTAGGTGAGTATGATCCGTCTTGAAATTCATGATTAGGACTGTAATTTGGCGTTGGTGTGACCTCGTGTGTAGGAACAGTAATTTTAGGTTCATAGTTTTCTGGTTGGAAAATCCAACATTTATGGGCCTTTTGCCAGTGTGTATTACAAAACTGGCTGTTTTTGTTTGGGTCTATTCTGCATCCTGGTGACAGCGGTCTTTCTAATTCCTTATTAAGCTCTTCTTCCAGGTTTCGTCTAACTGTAATTAACTTTTGTTTTTTTTAGCCGGCGAACTGACATCGTCCTCCCGTTTTTGGTATTTCCAGGTATCTAGCGGTAGCTTATGCTTTGTGTTCCCCTCTGCTTTATACTTGCCCATAACAAACTGATCAATGTATGGGCGCCATATAGTTAGCCACATAATTGGATTTAGTTCGATCGTTCCCCATTCCTTTAATTGTGGCATTGCTCTGTGTGTTTTAAAGATGAATACTAGATTATTCATTGTGTCGGCTTCTCCCATCGTTCGAGGTCGATAGTGATGGCGTTCTCCTCAGTAGTCTCTCATTCTGGTGTTTGACGTTGACATAAGTCTCGGTCCCTTCCAGAATGCACTTTCCTTCTTCTACATTTTGAGGTGTGAACCACATTTCGTCCATGTTAATCAACGTTTTGTCTACGCACGATCCGAACGTGAAGTTGTCACTTGCTTGGCAATGCATACGCCCGCAGTTCATCAGTCCATTTCTGATGCTTCTTAACACATAACTTTTGCCTGAATTTGAGACGCCAGTTATGTGTAGTCCGTTTATTTTTGGACGAATCTTATGGCATACTTCGAAAGTTTTTCTCTCGAAGTCGTCACTGTCTATTCCGTGGTGTTCACACCACTTCTTGTAAATATTCAAACTAGTTTGCACGTCCCAGTATCTGTTTCGGTTCAGTTCGAAGTACTCGTTTTTTTGCTGTATTTGTTCCCATACTGGCTGCACTTTCGTCTCAACATGTATATCAGTCCCAGCTGCCTGCACTATGTTGTTTAACTGGGTAGTGTTTCTGAATATGTGTTCCCAGGTATTTCTAATCTTCTCGTTTTTAGTGTTTTTGCAGTATATCATTATATCTATGTCAGTTGAATTACACCTTTTCATTTTAGCGATGAAATCATATTTTTGGCCTCTTATTGTGTCCTGCTTCGTGCTCATATCCGTGTAATTGACTTCCTCTTGCCTTATTGGTATCGTTTTATCTGTTACTTTCGTAAAGAAAGCCTTTTGTCCCTCCGTAGTAAGTCTATTTGCCACTATCACCTCTCGTCTTTCTGGTTTTTTACGAAGTATTGTCAGCCCGTATGGGTTGTAAACTTTTGGGCAACTTATTTCATATGGATGTATCCCTCTCTTTGCAACCGTCCGCTTCAGACCCATGAAGCTGTGTTCCGAAGTAGGATGATTTACGTGCCATGTGATCATGTGAAAGTGATCCACGTCGCTACAATGTTTTAGTTTTGACAGTCCCGCTTTGTGATAAATTATTATATAGGGTCGACTTTCTAAAATGTTTTTCAGGAACCTGTGTTGATCTTTCCTGTCGTCCAAATTTAACACTTCTGCAGTTTTCACGTATCTATCGTCGTGTACTAAATTAAATTCTGTAGGATCCTCCCACCATGTGCAAGGGCAAATTTTTCTTCCGTTCGAAGAGTCCTCTGAAACCAATTTGTTAAGCCAGTTTTTTTCTTCATCTGTGTCTTTGGTGTTTCCATTTCGTCAGCTTCGTATCAGCACGTTAACCCTTTCGTGATGCTGGTGAAAGTGTTAACATTTCGTCTGCTCTGCTCTATTTATATTACTTTAGGTGCCATGGCGTATTAAATTTCAATGGCATCCTTACTTGTTTACAAAGTTCCCATAACAGTATCCCAGTGTTTTCTGGTTCTTCTCGTCTGCCCATATATGGGTTGAATGGTTATGAATCATCCCTTTGACTTCTTGCCCATGAAAATGCCTGTTCGGGGCCACGATATTTATCCGCTCAGTTGTAATTTTCCGATGTTGCTGCTGCTGCACACGTGTGATCGTCGATGGGAACCTTCTGGGGATGTGTCAAGTTATCGTAGTAGCATTCCACTTCCACCATGTGCGTCATCTCAAAGGTGAAATATAATATTCCACTTGAAGAATTTGGTCTGAGAACGGGTGGAACATGAATTAATACCATTTCAGGAGCGTCCTCATTGGTGTACAGAACCTTGTTTATTAATGTTCTGTTTGCTACTGTAAAACAACCCGAAGTTGCATGGGTTTAACAATACTACGCTGGTGATCAAATGCCAAGTCAGCGACCTCGGTTAGATGAATGTCTTCCTGTGTTGCTTTTCGACACCTTTTTTGTGGCTTACATCCCACTTCCAAATTTTGTTTGGCATTTTTAACCGTCGTCCCCATTGTAGGGGCGGTGCTTATGTCTAGCCCAGCATTCCATGCTGTGCTTCTTCCTCCCGCGATGCTGCCAGTCATAGTTGCCGAGTTAGCTATCATCGAGCCCTGAACGAAGTAGTTCTGCTGCAACATGACTTTGCTTAACGGTTTCCATAGAAGGCTGTGATTTCGCCAAACGTGAGTAAAACTGTCTCCTTGTCTTACTTTTGTAATGTTCAGCATCTCTCTCCAGATTAAGATATATATATAGCCCTAGCCCTATGCAGGCTCGTGGAGCATTACTACCACATTTGCAATAGATATCGATGGTGTGCCTAAGCAGACTCTAACAGCTTCCTGAAAATTGTGTCCTGCCAAGTTGGTAGGGGCATGGTTCAACCAGCTGTTGACAGCCAGTACCTTTTCATACCCCTGTACGCCCAATCTCTTGTAAAGATCTTCAACCAGACCCTCTCGAGGTGACATAACAGATGCTTTATATTTATAGGGCATCAGCCCGCGCACAACAGAATTGGACACTATGGCTGCGTAGTCTTCATCTCCACATGACAACTGGCTGAGGCGACTTTCTTTCAGTGTGGAATAGAAAAATTCCAGTGAGTTTACTCGCCAAATCTCACATGAGCGTGTATTGTGGAATTGGAACAGTCCGCTTGCAGCCAAAGGCACCTGCGGGCGGCCCAACAAACTGCTTTGTCCCCTTTGATGAGCTCACCCTTGTGAAGTCGGCTAAAGGTTAACTGGTGTTGGTGGCAGCAAGAATCTTTTAAGGATGATCAGCTTTTCCTCCGGTTTCAGTGCAGCGCCGTTGACTGACTACGGGTTTCTCCAGATCAAGTGGTGTTCAGGCAACGTCCTTCCAGTTGAACTGAACTCCGAGATGCTGGAATTCAGACTCAGCCGTCACAACTGACAGGCGAGTACACTCGACCGAGATTGATACATCTGTGTCAAAAGTTGAATTTCCTCTTGTCGCATCAAATAAAGAGTATACAGTATCAAGGCATTTAGCTCAAGTCCAATGTGGCCAAGGCTGACTGCAAGTCGATCCAGCCGCTTTTGCATCTCTTCAGGGGAACTGCCGAATAGAATCACATCATCGGCATAAGCCATCTGATTGAGAACTATTGCACTGATGGTAAAGGCATACTCCTCTTGCCCCTTAGGTATCTGATTCAGGGCCAGGTTGGATAGCCACAGGGAGAGAGGGTCTCCCTGCTTGACCCTACTATATTTAGGATGGATCAGGTCGTTTCCAATCTGTAGCCTGCTCATGCTGAAGTAGGATCGCAGATACCCCATAAGGAGTTTGGGGAGACAGTCGAATGCTTTGCGGGTGACCGCCAGGTTCTCGTGTTTGGCACGGGCTGGGTGTAGGGCCGCATTCAGCTTGAGGACATTGTGGGCAATCCCATCAAGATGTATGAGCCTGACTTGGTCTTGATGGTTAGGGAGGGATGCCCTAAGATGGCTTGCAGGAACTCTATGGAAGACTTGCACAAAGTAATTCCCAATGGGACAGAACTCCAGAGGATTGCCGGGCACCTTCACCTTCTTGATGAAGGTCACCAGAGAGATGAAGATGTTGCCGTCTTTGCCTCTGGTAGGCAGCAGGCCTTTCAGCAGTAACAAGTTAAACAGAATGGCGATGACCTCTACGGGGATTGCCTGTAAGGTGGTAAGGCAGAGGCAATTGTGTCCTGGGGAAGATACCTTCATAGATGCAATTACGGCAGCGACATTGGCCATATTCGCATAGCAAGACGTTCGAATATTGGCGTCCACTTATGTATGAAGTCCCCGTAGGAAAAGGCCTGTTTAGCAGCGAGCCTCTAGTAGGAGGGGTCACTGTCAAGGACCCGTTTGGCAGCCGACTTTAGACTGCACTTATGGAGGTTCTGTAGGAAGTTGTAGATTATGGTGCGCTGGGCACACCTGCTAACAGTTCTTACTTTCAGAAAATCTCATAATGCAGCATAGAGAACCTGTTGGGATCATTGAGGGCCAGCTTGGCCTTAACCCAGACCACAGGGTTGGGGATGTCAGGAAGTAAGCCATTTATGTACTGAGTAATCCCTTGGGTGCTCACTGGGCTGGGGCGCTGCCATGACCTGCTCCTCATCCATCAGTTTTCTTCTAATTCTACTTGTAATTTTCTTTTTTCTTGTTTCCTGTAATGTTTCATTTAACTTTTCTTCTATTTTTGGAGGGCTTTCCTAGTGGGATTCTTCTACCTTATATTTAATATTGTTAGGTAATGGACATTTGTCTAAGATGGCATCATATGAGGATTTATTCTGTATCCATTCTGTGATGTGTGTTATTCCATATTAGTCTCTATTGCAGCCATGAGCTCTAACTCTCCACGGGGTCATCGTGCATAGTTGCGGGTATTCGAATGACGTGAGGCATCATATCTTCTCTTTATCTCATTCTGCTGAGCAGGATGCATTTTCCACATGAGCTAACAAAGTTGGCTGACCACTTTAAAGTGTGCAGACACACGGCAACTTCAGTGGGTGGGGGACACCCAATTGACAAGGAAAGTTTGTTTTTTTTTTTTTTGTTTTTTTTTTTTTCCACGTCTCGTGGAGGGTCGTCGAAGGCATGTCTTTTCAATTCAGAATTCAAGTTCTCGTGGTCAGAGGGGGATGGCAACCCCACATTTATTGTCTGCGGACGACGTCTGGACTCTTAGCCAGCCCAAGGGCTGTTACCAGCGCGACCCTATAGGAGGAGGACAAGCATCCTTAAGAGAGTCGTAGTTACTCCTTAATTCCTGCTAAAACCTCTGGGTCCCGAGAATTATTAAATAAGTGGAAAAGAAGTCAATCCTCTTTTTTTTTTTTTTTTTTTTTCTCGACATTTTCCTTTTGACAAATAAAAATTAATGACCATAGAGCTGGTTACATTTGGAGATTCTTATCCTATTGCATTCATCCAGGCTGCAAACACAACAGTCAGGTCAACCACCAGCCGGGTGCACCTTGACTGGTACACCCACTTGGCAGCCAATTGGTGTTTACAAATGCCACCACGGGGAGGTGGGGCATGTGTTGGTGTCATCTATTGGGTGGGGGTGGGAAATTCCCTTGTTAATCGGGAGGCCCCGCAGGCATCACCAGGCTAATCAGAGAGGAGTCGGGGGGGGGGGATTTAGTAAAGGAAGCACGTCATGACTACTCGGAGCCGTCAAGGAGCAACCTCGGTGATGCTGTGGGTCACGTTGCCCTCTCCACTTGGGCTGACCAGTGAGCTCGGCGGATACAGGCAGTATCACAGTGGGCAATCCTGTTACAGCTACTGGGCAACCGCCCCTCACCAGTTATACATCACGGCAACAACTTTGATGGGAATATCGCTACCATAATCCCAAACCACATCCAATAATTATGGCTGGCTATATACTTTGTTACCTTATCTATATTACACACCTCGAGGCTGTATATGTACAGGATGTCTAAAATAATCACTTTCTCTGGTGCGGATTGCGATATCAGGCGTCCACAAACCTACGCTGCATAATGACATTGAAACCTCTCTTCAAAATTGTCTGCACCATGTATAATATGACCTTGTTCTGGCACTTTTTCCGGAGACTATCAACGATGCAGCAGGTTCATCGGAGCGTTCCGACCACATTTATAAAACACATCCACCCGTGCCCATACAGCCTAGACTGACCCTAATGGCCTCCTGGAAGTTAACACCGTCCCAGGTGGCATGTGGCATAATCAAGCCAACTGTTAACAGCTGGTACTTTCTCATACCTCTTTAGGCCCCTGGTGTCCAATCTACAGAGAAGGTCTTCTACCAGACCCTCTTGGGTGCATTTGATTCCTTTGTAGGTATGTTCATGAGATCCATAAAAAAATGGCATAGCATGACTAAAAAAGTCCTTAAACTTGATGAAAGTATTTTTTATCGTCGAAATGTTTACGTTATTATCAAGAGGAAAGATAAAAGTATTTTTTGAATATTTTTTTTTACATTTTTTAATAATTTTTAGCACGTCCAAAATTATCGTTAAAAATCTTTATTTTTGAATCGGCAAAACTGACACCAAATCAATCATCAGCCATTTTTTTTACTTTTGTTTACAGAAACAAATATCGCCGTTTAAAAATCATTTAAGAAATTTTTTAAAAAAATTTTAAGTAAATTAGAAATTATAAAGTTTATTTAATAAATTCTGAAACAAAGATTACTTACTTTCTGCACCAGAAAAATCTAATTTAAAATTAGAAGCCGGCCAGTCTGAACAGTGGTGTTGATTGACGAGTGACATGTGCGTTATCTCGTCACGCACTCACGTGTTACGGGAGGAAATTTATAGTACAGAAGGTCATATGTGACAGAACTTACCTCTTTATTTTTAAGTGGGCACAGCATGAAAAAACGGCCTTATACTTAACTAAAGCAGAATTTTATAGCCAAATGTTCCTGTTACTATTAAGGAGGGGAAAGAACAAAGTAATGTTTAATTTATTTTTAAAAAATGTCTTTCTCTTTAGAAGCTTTTTTTTTTTTATTAAAAAAATCTTGTTTCATCATGGAACTAACATGGCGAATTTTTTTTTTTTTTTTTCTTTTTTTTTATAGACATTTTTTTGGAAAATCTTGCAAAAATAGATATAATTGTCTGATTTTAATGAAACTTTCAGAAACTATTCAGGAATGATGGAAATTATTATAATTATTTTTTTAAAGTAATTATTTATATAACCCCCAACCTAAATAATTTACTGAAAACTCTAGAAATTCAATGTTGAAGCACCTAAGTCAAGGAAAAGTATCAGTGTCCATTTTTTTTTTTTTTTTTACTTACCTTTTATGTTTACTATGCTTCATGGAAAAACATACTATAAAAAAATTAAGTCAGACATAAAGAGTGAGATCAAATTTCATAAGAAAGGTACCTGATTAATTAATTAATTACCTTTCTTATGAAATATAGCAGTAGTGTACATTGTATGTTTTATTTGGATTTCCACTCATTTCATTTATGGAAAAATGACAACTGATAGCATATAAATTTCATAAGATAGGTACATAATACAAGTTGAAATGCTATACATTTTTTCTAATATTTACATAAACACATACTTTTTATTTTATTTTTCATAGCCAAATAAGAACAGGGGTTTAGAATTTCAATGTAATCGTTATTAGACGTTCGTGAACTTTTTGTGGCCCTGAAACTTTTTTATTGCTATTTTTCCCATAGCTGGGACCCTAACAGGTGCTACCACTCCGGGTCAGAGTGGCCCTGGGAACAACAGCAATTAAGAGGTGGTTCCACGCTCCTCAAAAACTCCAACCTATTGCTTGGAGTCCTTGCTGCCAGATGTAAAAATTGGGAAGTTGTGTATTTAGCAGTAGATCGTGCATGATATAGTTGGTCGCCAATTCGCATTTGTCCAGTTGATATTCTTCATTTTCCTCTTCATAAAATATGTTGTAGTCTGGGTCAGAAAATTCATTGACCCATCCTACAAATAATGTATCAACAGAATCAACTGTCCAAATGTGTCTTATACTGCAACCAACTATATCACCACTTAAGATTTTGTAGATATTATCTACAAAATCTTCTAAGTCAATTCTGATTTATAGCAGAAGTAGTTTGATCTAGTTGTTTCATCTTTCTCTGGAGTTGTCGCCTTCTCTGGTTTTGTTGTTGGCTTTTTTTTTTTTTTTCATTCCTTTTCTTTATTTCTGCCTCCAAAATTTCTTTTTTGTGTTTTTCCTTTCCTTCCTCATACTGGTGCTATACTGCATGGCAACATCCAGGTATTGCTGAAAAGTAGTCTCCTCCAAACCATTCACATAGTTCCACACATCATTCCTCTTGGCCTTGATAATGTGGCTTATGCTGGAGACATAAGCATCTGGTGATACTTTTTTCTTTTCGCAATACTCACCTATTACACTCTCCACCTCCATCGTGTGTTGCCTTACAGATGATAGCACCGATTCTGTGGTAGTTTGTACTGTCAAAAATGACTGCCTGTACTGCCGTTCTAAAACTGAAACAGTTCCTTTCAGACAGGCAGTCATCATCTCTTCAAACAATTGTCTGTTTGTGGGGGCAACCATTACTTTCTTTACAGTTGCTGGCAAAACGTCCCCAAAAAAGTCTTTTTTCTGCCAGCAGTATTGCCTTTGATTCCTCTTTTTTTTTTTTTTTTTTTTTTTAACTCTTCAATTATGTTCTTAACCATTTCCATAGTGTCAATTGGGTTTTTGCATTCTTTTAAGTTTGTGTAGAATTTATTCATCCAGGGCCCAGACAACATCTTCCCTAGAATGCCAGGTATTTGAAGCTCTGTCTCTGCTGCTTCCTCCACTATGAGACCTTTTAATTTGATGACTAATTTATTTTTAGGCAACAGATTGAGCACAAATTTTTTCAGATTATCAAAAATGGAGAAATAGACACCACCTAATTGAAAAATTACGTGCAACCGATTTCCAAGGAATCTTGTCACCTTATGGTCATTTCTCTTCATGAATTCCTCCATCTGCATCACATGGTTATACTTGTCACTGAATCGTAATGAATTCAGTGCCATAATAAGTTTCCATGCGATGCACTCCCCAGAACGCTGTAACATCTTCTCCTCACAGGCTTGGAACTCCTTCCTGATTCTGTTGGAAATGCCTTCTAGCGGATGCACGTTACAATTTAGTTCAATTAGGTGGGTGCCCCACTCCTTCTCCAATAAAAAAACAGTCAAATGGTTGACTGGTGCTCGGTCTGTTAGGCAGCATTTAATTTTATTAATTATTGCTGTATGGCAGCTAGCAACACTTATTGATGACATCTGGGAATATATCTCAGCAAGCTTTACAATTTCAGTATTAATGTGATTCTTATAGTCCTCAGCTGTTCCCCAGGTAGACGCTCAATTGACAGAAGATGAGATGATGATGGGGTTGACCATCATGCAGTTTACATGTATCCCATCTTGTCGTAGAATCGAAAATGAGGCTACAATTTTCACATGAAAGAATTGAATTAATAGTTTTGACATCAGAAAAAAAACCAAGTTCACCCACCATTCGGCCAACTGTGGTTATAGACTTGATGTCAAAACTTGGCTCCTGTATGATGGAGTTGAAACGTTTCAAAAGTTCTGGAACATTTCTTCTAGCCACACCACTTAGTAAGCATGCATAGTGCATCTTCCTCGAGTATAATTTTGACGCCCTTTTTGTTTTCTTTTTTGCCAATGATGTCAATTTTTTAATTTTTTTTTTTTTTTCAGTTGTATTATTAATTTTTTTTTGCCTGCAGACCCTCATTTTTAATTTTTTATTTTCTTCAATTAGACTTGAAGAAATCGGGGTTGCAGGTGTCACAGTTGGGCTTGCAGGCGTCACACAATGGGCCACTTCTTCACACTTGTATAAATTTAATAAAATTTCTTCCCTTGTGTCTATTTCTATAAATACGCCTCAGGTTCATTGCTCGCCCAACTGTTACATTTGGATATCCATTTTTTGCATTTTCTGCTGATGCCCAATTGGCTGCCTCGTAAACTGTGGCTTGTTTGTAAATTTTATGGAAAACATGCCCACATAGAACAGGCTGTCCAGAGGGAATGCTGCCATATTTTAATAAGACTTCCTCAGTCCTGTTCATCCTGAAATGTCAATGAAAAAAATAAAATTAATTACAAACTGAAATATATTTCATGGAGAAATTAATTACTACTTGAGTTAATTGAATGTAGAAAGGATGTTAGTATTGTTTTATTTCTAAGCTATGTATTCTTAATTGAATCAAACTAATGAAGGATTAAAGTATGACTCACAAATCATTTTAAATATTCTACCTCAAAAAAAGAATAAATGAATAAGAAAAAACAAAAAACAAACAAAAATACATAAAAAGATATAGCTAAAGAATGCATATATAAATATAAATACACGATTTAAAATTATATTAATATTAAAAAAAAAATGGAGGACACAAAAAACACTTCAACAAAGCCTGCTGAGATAGTTTCTGGGTTTTTTCTTAAATAAAGAAAAAGAAATATAAATGAATTTAAAAGTGTAACGAAAGACAAATTCACAAAAGAAGAAAATTAAAGATGAATAAAAAACAACAAATACATCAAATAGTACTTTTTGAAAAATTAATGAAGAAAAAAGCCTTTTTATGCGCTATAAATAAATGAGAAAAAATATTGTAATTGAATTAAGACTCACTAAAAAACAAATACAAAAATTGCAATGAAATAGGTATGAAAATGAAGAAATGGTACTTTTCAAAATTTTCGGCTTCTTCTTGGTCGTATATTGGATGTAGTTAAATTTTTTTTAAGTAAAACTTCTCCACACGTGTTTCGACAATTGTAAAAAAAAATTGGAAAGGCTGTTAACAGTGGTGTACAGCGTTTATATACAGAATTAGGTCACATGATGTTTTCATTGTATCATGTTAAATGGCCTCCATACATTTGATTTTTAACGTTTTTTTTGTGGCACTGACGTCAAAAGATAAAGATTATTCTCATTGCTGCTTTTTGCTTGTAAAAACCTTGTGCTATTTATAATCTGTATAGATACAGCTACCCGAAAGAAACATTATATCAAGGATTGAATTTTAGAATATTTAACAACTTTTTAGTAACTTTATGTAATAATAAAAAAAATAATTTGTGAAAAAGCAATTCATTTAAACTCATTTTTCATCGAAAATGTTTTTTGCTTTCAGACAATATTATGCATATTGATAAAAACAAATACAAGCCACTAAAAGTATTTAAATTTAAATAGTATCTTTGTTTTATTGGGTTTTGAATTTACAATTCAGAGCTGATTTTCGGTTTATGAGTTCGCTACCCAAAAAAAAGAAAACCTGATTTACTTTCCTCAAAGCCTTGTTTTTATTAATATAGTGACTTCCCTGCTTCGTCCATAAACTTTTACAGTTTTCTTTAATTCATTTATGGGGGTGGTAATATATGTATAAAAAATATATTTTTATAATGACTTTTAAAAAAAATAATATATTTATAATAATTTCCATCATTTCCTGAATAGTTTCTGAAAGTTTCATTAAAATCTGACAATTATTTCTATTTTTGCAAGATTTTCAAAATTAATGTGTGTCATGAGAAAAAAATGCACAAAAAATTCGCCATGTTATTTACTAGAGTTCCGGTGATGACGAGAAACAAGGTTTTTCAATCGAAAGTTAGAATGTTCTAATAAAGGCAGAAAAATTTTTAAAAATAATTAAAAATTACTTTCTTTCCTCTTAATAGTAACATAAACATTTTAACGATAAAATTTTCTTTTCGTTAAGTTTGGCGTCTTTTTCATCAGACTATGCGCTTTTTTTAGCGATCTCATGCATATACCCATAAGTCATCAACGAGCCCACTGCAGGATTGGACGCAATGACTGCGTCCTCAACATACCCATTTGCAAACAGGCTAAGACAGCTGTCCTTCAGTTTGGCAATGAGCATTTTGATAGAAGCAACCCCTGACCCTGCTGCTGAAACTTGACTTGGTCTTGATGATTCGGGAGGGATAATTCTAGGCAATCAGCTAATACTCAGTGGAACACCTGCAAAAGTAATTCCCAATGGCAATTGGTCGAAATTCCAAGTGATCACCAGGCACCTCCACCTTCTTGATGAAAGTCACCCGAGAGATGAAACATTCACGCTCAAAAACCAGCCAGCCAGAAGGCTAATATCAGCCATGCTGGACCCAATGTACATGTTGATATTATGCACGTGTTGGGACAACACCTAGCGCTCTAGCACAGCCATATGCCAAAGGTCTTCAGCTGTCCATTTCAAGTAGGTGCAAGTGATAGGTATCGCGCCGTTTTTTAAGCTCGTTCCACTGGTTAGGATGTGTCTTACACATGTGGGCTGAAAGCTCAAAAGCAAACAGTGCAACTCCAGTGAGGAGGTATACCCTCCCAATCGACGGACATTATTTTGGCTACCGCCGGTCAAGGCCTATTTGACATAGAAGAACCAAGCAAATACAATCGGAGGCGGATGGTAACCTCACAGAGATTGCTGTATTTTGGAAGCATGGACACCCCACATTTAATGTCAGCGGACAGCATCTGGACTCTTAGCCAGCCTAAAGGCTGTTACTGGCGGGACACTATAGGAGGAGGCCCAGCACCATTCCCCCCTCAAGGGACAAGCACCACAACACCAGTTAGGTGACGAGGCATTTGGCTAATTCACAACCACCCACACCCACTGGCGCTCCCAAATGACATCACGAGGAGGCGGGGTGCATTCTTAGTCATCATCTATCGGGCGAGGAGTAGGAAAATTACGCTACACACAAATCTCCTTATATAGTTATACGGTGGCAATGCAGGCCTACTCAGTGCTGGGCATGTTGCCTCCACTGCAGGCGCCTACCAATATGCCCATAGCATACGCGCAGTGACATGCAGAATCATCCGTGATGTCAGGCTGAAATATTGCCACCTTAGAAGCCTATCTATTGTGCAATCCTGGTACGACTATTGGGCACCCACCCCATGCCAGTTGTATGTTAGGGCAATGACCTTGATGGGCAGGTTGGGCTTTCGGATGCCGTGCTCAGTCTAAAGACTAGGTTCCATAATTACGTCGAATTTTCTTTCTTTCAGGATCTGTGCCATGTGTAGGACGACGTTGTTATGGCGTTTGGACAATGTGAGGTAGGCTCATGGGAGCATTGCTACCACATTTGCAATAGATATCGACGGAACGACCACCCCAGCATAACCGGGATGGTGTGCAATTGACCCCACTATGTTTAGGGTGGATCAGGTTGTTTCCAGTCTGTAGCCTGCTTGTGCTGAAGTAGGACCGCAGATACCCCATAAGGAGTTTGAGGACCCCTTTCTGTTGGTGTATGCCTAGTATTACCTTGTGGGAGACCGAGTCAAATGCTTTGCGAATGTCCACAGGTTCCCGTGTTTGGCGCGGGCTGCATGTAGGGCCACATTCAGTTTGTGGGCAAACCCGACTTTGTCTTGATGGTTTGGGGGGGGGGTATGCCTCAATACGGCTTGCATGCACTCCATGGAAGACTCGCACAAAGTAAATCCCAATGACGATGGGACAGAACTCCAGAGGATTGTAGGGCACCTCCACCTTCATGATTAAGCTCGCCCAAGAGATGAAGATGTTGCCAGCTTTGCTTCTGTAGGCAGCAGGCCTTTCAGCAGTAACAGGTTAAACAGAATGGTAATGACCTCTGTGGGGATTGCCTGCAAGGTGATAAGGTGGAGACCATCGGGTCCTGGGGAAGATTCCTTCATAGATGCAATTACGGCAGCGACATCGGCCATATCTGCATAGCAAGGGCAATCGGCATCCACTTATGCAGGAAGTCCTCATTAGAAAAGGCCATTCAGCAGCGAGGACCTCTTCGGCAGATGACCACAGGGTCGGGGATGCCAGGAAGTAAGCTGTTTATGTACTCAGTAATCCCTTGGGTGATCTCTTGCTGAATGTGCTCACCAGGTTGGGGCGCTGCCATGAACTGCTCCTCATCCATCAGTTTTCTTCTAATTCTACTTGTAATTTTCTTTTTTTGTGTGTTTCCTGTAATGTTTCATTTAACTTTTCTTCTATTTTTGGAGGGCTTTCCCAGTGGGATTCTTCTACCTTATATTTAATATTGTTAGGTAATGGACATTTGTCTAAGATGACATCATATGAGGATTTATTCTGTACCCATTCTGTGACGTGTTTATTCAATATATGGTACGCCACATTGCTTGAGACAGTCTTTCCCCCCCCCATATTTTAATTTGTCCATAGGTTCTTGCACTTTAAGAATAGTGCATTCCAGCTCTAAGTGATTGCTCTTCATTTAGTATGATCTTCCACAGCTCTTTGTTAGATGTGCTCAGGCAAGGTATTTGTCACTTTAACCTTTTACTCTGGTTTTTAACATTCACCATTGTTGGTGCTTCTTCCAGAATGCACTTGGCTTAGTCCATGTTATGCCGGTAGAAGCACATTTCGTCAGTGAATATGAGCACTTTGTCGACGCATCCTCCAAATGTGAAAGCGTCCTGATCCTGGCATCTCATACTGCCAGAGTTGCAGATGCCTTCCTTAATCCTACATTAACTGATCCCTGGATATGGAAACTTTATCTTGGGTAGTACTTTATGGCATGCATCAAACTTTTTGACTTGCGGACCCCTTTATATTTCAGGCTTTACCTTAGGGACCCCCTTATAAACGCTTATGAAATTTATACATAAATATTTGCTGAATATAACATAATTTTGCATTAATGCAATAAAAGCAGGTTTAAAGCTTACTTTAGACATAAGTGTTCAAATAAATTAATGCTGCATGTTGCTGCAAAATGTAATAAAATTAAATTTTGTTATATTAAAATATTAATTTCACATGTAAATGTAAAAAGTAATTGTATTTAACAAATAGTTTTAGTGTCAATTACACACAGGATTTTTTAATACACACTTAGTGAGAAGGATGTGCTTGTTTGGCTTTGCACAAACTGTCAATCCTTGGCGATATTACTGATAAACATACACGTAAGTCACTTTCTGGAGCAAATCTGGATCTGTATTTGTTTTTCGGATTGGTTAGTGCCAAAAATCCTGCTTCGCATAAATATGTTGTTGCAAATGGTAACAAAATCTTAGCTGCCTTTCGAGATAACAATGGATACCCGGAGGCTACAGTGAGCCAGAATTTCGAAAGTTATTGCTGCACAAAACTGGTTTTTAAAGTTCTGTCGCATGAAATTTCCGCCAGTTTTTCCAGTTCATTTCTTGTGAGAATGCTATTAGCTATTTCAACATTAAATGGATTTCTGGTCCAGTCAAAATTTTCAATATTATCAGGAACATCTTTCGAGAAATATTTGTCAAAATGTTCAGCAATTGATATTAAATGTTGTTTAACATCTACAATTATCAAATCAACATTAACTGAACCATTGTTGCTGAGATATTCGTCCAGTGTAGGAAACATATCTAAAGTTTTCTTACTAACTTTTGCAGTCCATATATTCAGTTTTTTCTTAAAGGCTTCAATTTTGTCATGACTAAATAAGATATTTGAATTTCTTCCTTGTAGAGATAAACTCAGTTCATTAATTTTGTTGAATATATCTGCCAGATAAGCAACTTTGAAAAGCCAAATTTTATCAGCCATTATCAAAGCCAGTTCAGCATTATAATTGCACAGAAACATTGACAGTTCTTCTTTAAGTTCAAATAAACGCTGAATTATTTTACCTTGTGATAGCCATCTTACCTCTGTATGAAACAACCGACTTGAATGTTCAGCCCCCATCTCACCACAGTGTGTTGCAAAGAAACTGTAGAGGACTGTACGTCTGGGTTACCATTATGTAGAAGAATCGTGGCTGTGATGTGTAGAAATAGATGAATACATGTGAGTTAAGATTTTCCCTTTAGCCGGTCCAACTACATGAGAAAGTTGGACTTTAATTTAAGTCCAAAGAAGGCAAAGAAAAACAAACACAAGACCGATAAATATATGTATTAATAACAAGAAAGGTTACAAGTTACATTGACAGTGTGCGTGGTGAATATTGTGTGTTGTGATGAGTGTTTGTATGTATGTGTATTGTGCTTAGCGTGTTCCCGATGACGAAGTTTGTAGAAGATATTGAACGGGAAAGATTTGTCGTCTCGATTAGTGAGATGGTAATTAGTAATCATCACATTTTTAAGCTTGAGTAAGCGGTTGAAAAATGGTCTGCTGCTGATCTGCCTCTCTGTCGTCACACGTGCTTTGGGTTCCTTTTAAGAGATCATGATCACGTGGGGTGGCTCCAGAGCGATTTTGGGCCAAAACTTCGAAGTGCGGGTGATCTGATTGGTAGAAATGAACCAATCAGAGGGCTAGACAGTTGGAATAGTGCATTACTCAAAGAAGGTAAGATTGGGCTAATGGACTAGCCCAATAAGACAACTATACAGTAGTCTGGTTTTAATGAAATTCACCACTTTAATACAAGATAACAAGACTTCAGACAAAGAAGCATCCATTTTCTTCGCAACCAGGGCTTCTCAATGAATCATGCAGTGATATTAGGTGGTGCTTTCTTAAAGTGCCCCACAACACCTGAGTGAATACCAGTCATTGATGCCCCCCCCTCCCATCTGTACATATGCCAATACATTGGCTCCAAAACAAGTCTGTTTGAAGAAGAAAAGAGTCCAATACTTTAAAAACTTCCTCCCCAGTTGTTCTAGTGGGCATAGGATGGCAAAATAGAAAATCTTCAAGCATTTTACTTTCCCAGCAATATCGTACATACACCATAAGTTGAGATCCATTGGTAATATCTGTGCTTTCATCAAGTTGTAATGCAAAAAAGCCTGTTTTCACTGTCAATTAACTGAGATTTTATATCTTCTGACATATCTATTCTTTGCGCAAGTGGCACAGCTTTCAATTTTGCAGTACATAAGTTTTTCAGCAATATTATGGGCCTTAGCACGAGCCACTCTCAGTGCCACTAAATAAGATGCCCGTAGTAGTTTGACTTGATGTTATTGACATTGTAAAAGTTCCTTTCTGCTTTAAATATGCATCCCTTTTTCTTTCAAAGGAATCTTTTGGTTTTGTGGCAAATTCAGGATGTAGTGTTAAGTCACTGCAATTTAGCTGGTTTCAAGGCTTCATTCAACAACAGCTTATGACAAAGTAAACACTGTGGTCTGTTAGCATTAGACACATTTCCAATGAATCCAAATTGAATATACTCCACATCATATTTTCTTAATTTGTTTTTCTGAACAATCTCTTCTGTCTCTGCAACGGATTCTGAGTTGATTTCATCATGAGGTTTCCGTTATCTGGTTTCGACTGTGCACATGTTGCTAAAAAGAACTCGAAATACTGTATTGACTCTTTCAGTGGCTGTAGACAACATGGAACGCTTACTGTTAATTGCTATGAAAACATACTAATAAAAAATTCAGAGCTTCTACTCACAAAATGTCTCCCGTTTTAAGATGATTTACACACGTGACACCTGTAACACCCCTGGAGAGGTCCGTGCAATTTCTCCAGCGGCCGTTCTCCACACTGTAATGTTGCCGGGGGTTGGTTGAAAAGGTCGAAGTCTCAAGCTGGGGGCACAAGATAAACTATTGAAGGAACGAACTTCCACAACTTAGATGAGTTTAATCGACGCTTTATTTCATTCAGACTTAGTCTTGTGGTTGGGGTAGGCGATGTGACACTCAGCTCTAACTCTAACTAATGGAGATCAAATGCCGAACCGACCGACTCGGACAAACAGAGTTTCACTTCTTCAGTGTGCCTGACACACGTAGCTACTTCAAGCACACGCCTGGCTGAACTGCTCGGCTCGGAAAAATCACTTGTATTTATATTGAAATAATCGGAAATCCACTAGACCACTGGGTGAAAACAAAAGATAAGCATTGGCGACTGTAAGTTCAAAATTTCAAGGTACTTAAATTTTGTTTCTTTTGATGTGTAAACATCCCACAGACATCCTGTTTGCACTCAGCCTCCAACGATGTATTTACCAGGATTTTTTTTATCTTAACAAATCTTCATGTGAAGGCCATCAGATGTTTTTATAGCCCTGGCACTTTCTCAGTAACCAAGCGTTCTTTTTTTTATTGCCTGGAGAAGGGGAAAATTCTATTATCTTTTCTTTATTTACTTAATGTGTTGTCAAGATACAGTAAAGACAGTTTTTGACCTGGTCATCTAAAATCTATTTCCTAAACGTTTATATTTTATCACATCAAATCCCTTAGTCAAATATTTTATTGGAAGACTGGTAGGATTTAACAGTAATCTGATGCCTTTTTCTCTTCCACAAATTTACTTATAAAAGAAAAAAGCGTTTATTTATTTATTTTTTTCCTTTTCTTTTTCCCTTAGTACTTTTGTTAAACGAAACACATGTTTTTAAAGTATTTTTCTATTCTTAACCATTTTCTATACTTAAATTAATAAAATACATATTTTACAAATCCACCTTAATATACGCCTAGTTATCGTGTCACATGTCTAACAACCAATGAGAAAGCCGGAAATCGCAAAATAGATCCAAAATTCAAATCCTTTGGTTCCTTCTCTGCATGAATAGAATCCAT